TCATAACAATTTGATCAGTGAGCCTTTAATAGACATAGGATGTATTTTTTGTACTCGTTGATGCCTTCTAGGTATGCTTTTTTATGGTTTTCAAGAGCTATACAGAGAAGAACGTGGAGTTTACATAATAAAGACGATGTCCAATGATGGAGAAACCTACTAGCCACTATTTGAGCACCAAATGAAGTCCAACGGAGGAAGACTCAGCCCAAGCAGAAGCAGAAACTAGTAGTGTCCCAGTATCTGGTCCAACCACCGCTTATGGAGCCTGGTCGAAACGTGTCCAAATCTTTAGAATAGGTTGTCCATGGGCCAAGGAGGCCCGCCCAATAAGAAAAATGACTGTGGTCCCGATCGCCGCACTGCCACTACCAAGAGGCCCAAGCCCATAACAAGATCTTTAGGCCACGACTTCGACCCTAAGTTAGACAAACCTTGTCCTATTTGGTTTAGGAGGGGTTTGGCCAAGTTTCACCCCTATAAATAGAGAGCAAGACTCATTAGTTCAGTAGGCACACAATTACATTCAAACTTATGTATACTCTACTCCAGTAAGAGCTTAGCTTTTGTATGAGAGGGTGCAGCAAGGGAGATGTTTTTATCATCGATTGTGGTACCCTCCTTCTGTTCTATGTTGCTAGTTTGAAGTTGATTGTATGAGGAAGTGAACTCGTTTATCCTTGTATGTATTGATGCGATGATGATTTCATGTCATTCTTGTGATTTTTTATGCCCTATATATATGCATGGATGCTCTATGTTTTGATGCTTATGTGTATGATTTCGATGCTCATTTAGTTCAATGCTCTTAATCATTGATGCTTTTCATTCTATATTGTGCTACTTTTAGTCACCCAATTCGTGGGTTTGCCCAAGCCGCTCCCGAATTAGAGCGTGAAAATGCGATTTTCCCATAGAACATCCACAATTCGAGAATTATCATCAATGGGAGCGCGAATTCTATTTGGAAAGTTCGTGAATTTCTTGATGGAGTTATATCAGAGCAAAGAGAAAAAATTCCCCTCTGAATCGATAGTAGTTGAGCGCCTGACTGATTATCGCTGTCAGGATTATGTCGTTCTATGATTTCTGGTGGAGACAGATTTTGTTGTTGCTAATATTCTCTTTTTTTTTGTTTGTAAAATTTGTACTCAAGCCCCGTTCTTTGTTTTCCAACACCAAACCAATAAAAATTTAAGAAATATAAATAAAGCAAGGGAAAAGTCAGTTTTCACAAAAGAATGATTGACAATTAGTAAAATGATGGGCAAGAAGTAACAATTCCAATATAATATTCATGTAATTTAACATTTTAAAGTCTGAGTTTGAATTGCTTATTACTTAATTCTCGAGAATCTGAAATTAATTTATAAAAGTTAAGCGAATAATAGGTGGATATGGAGAAGTCATATTATAGGATGAAATGACCAATTTTGTCCACATTGCTTGAGAAACTTGATTTTCAGTGCGCAATGGATAAACTGATCAAGGACTTGTGTGACTTCTTTAACTTTTTTAGTGCTAATGGATGGGCAACCAACAAGATATTTTAGAGCGCTCTCGTGGGATGAGGCAAGGTGACTCATTCTCTCCTTTATTGTTCGCATTGTGAACGAAGGGGTTTGCTGCTTTAATTCGCCAAGCCTTGGCGTGCCACACTTTGTATGGACTCCGTATTAGCCCTCGATGTCAAATGATTTCTCTTATGTTCTTTGTTGATGACTCATATCTATTCGTTAGAGCATCTCCTCGAGAGTGTGGTAAATGGTAACTTGGTAAAGCTTTTAGGGCGCCAAGAGACCTTAGTGTCATATTGTGACCGGGCTTTAGTTGAAGGTTGGTTTAGATGTGGCTATGGATGTGCCGACAGGCGAGACACTCAACTTCAGGGGGTGGCTCGGGTAGAACACTGCCCGATTTGTGAAGAAAAGGTGGAGTCGCTTGAACACCTCTTCTTTTGATGTCTGGTGGCTTTGGGTCTTTGGGAGTGTACTAAGTTGGTGGAGCTCCACGAGGGTCTTCCCCAGGCTCATATGGGCATGTTTTTGCATCATTTGCTTGAGAGGGGTGAGACATATTGTGAATACCTGATGTGGATAGTGACGTTATTATGGAGCATTTGATGTGTGATTCGGGACTAATTACACACTTTTACCCCTTATTTCTTGATAGTTTGACTTTTCATTTCATCGTCTTTCGACCTATTTTACGCTATGTTGTGTTATTTTTGTTACATTTCAGGTCCTAGCATGTGTGGGAAGGTCGAGGACGAGTTCGGGACGAATGGAGGCAAAAATGGCAAGGAAATAAAGAAAACAAAAGTGAACACGGCCTGAACACGACTGTGTTTCCAGACTGTGTTCTACACCTTCAGCCTGGACACAACATTGTTTCAGGTGCCAGACGATTCTTGCCATTCGACGAACACGACCTAAACACAGTCGTGTTCATTGGTCGTGTTAGGAGCTGAGTCTAGAGACTTTCGCGCACCTCGCGGGCTTAGAATTTATCACGGTCACCTTGAATGTGATAATTAATGAAGAGGGTGTGACGTTGGCCAACAACGGAGCGTTTCATCGAGTATTGAAGAACACGTCTAGAACACGGGCGTGTTAGGGTTGATTCAAAGTTTTCTTGCAGATGATCAAAATGCGTTGTGTTAGGAAGTGAACACGGCCAGGTAACACGACGTGTTCTTGACCGTGTTCGAGCTGAAATATGCAAACTATAAAGTACGCAGCAGAAGGAAGAAAGGAGAGGTTGGATTTTGGGGTTAGCTTTAGATTTTTTAGGTCTCTTCTAGGGTTCCAGCTGAAGAAACCCCAAGGAGAAACCCTTGTGAGAGAAAGGTCTTCTTCAAGATCTAGAGAGAGAAAGTGATCAACAAGGAGATAAGAAGAAGATTTGGGCTTACTTCAACCTAGAGGAGCGAAGATTCTTACCTCTCAAGGGATTCTCATCAACAATGAGAGAAGACAAGCATCCATCATGCTTCTTTCTTTCATCTTTGTTGTTTTTCGTTGCCTAGCTATAAAGTAGAGTTTCTTCACTTGGGCATTGTGAACCCTAGTCTAGATGTGTGTTAGGATGAAGAACATGACTCTATGTGTGGTGATTGAATGTTTTATATAATATTTGAGGCAATGTAGTCAAAAGCGAGTTTATACGTAGAAACGTTTTGGTGATCTTAAAGGCGTAAAATCGTAAGTTTTTAAGTTTTAAAATGGAGTTTTTAACTAAATAAGTTATAAAAACTTAGATTTTGTGTAGATGCGTTTTAGTGACCTAAAAACGTAAAATCGTAAGTTTTTAAGTTTTAAATCGCGATTTTAACTACATTGATTTGAGGTATTATTCATAAATGATTGAGTGTTGCTAGCTTTAACTCATTATTATGCCAATTTAACCAAGGTAGAGGGAAATCACCTTCTTGCTAAGAGGCTTTATAAGCTAGAATTCTTTGGCCAGTTGAGCCACCTACTTAGGTAGAATTAGGGCAAACCTCAAATATCGGATAAGTGCCATGATTAAATCAGGATTGGTCGCTATCCGTCGTCCAGATTAATTTAAGAGGGATTGGTTATTGCAATCCTTGGTTGATTGGTTAATAGGGCTAGATTTTCTAGCTTATAGTTGCAATCCTTAGTCGAATGGCTAAGAGAGCTAGGCCACCTAGCTTATTGTTGCTATCCTTAACCGGTAGACTAAGAGAGTTAGAGCTTTCTAGCTAGTTGCACCCGCCACGCGGTTTATAAACACGTCCTCCACACTAGACTTTCGTTCATTGTTTCTTAATACGAGACTAGGGGGAGCAATACTCGGGTGAATTCTTCTCTTATTGGGACAACCTCGATTTACTTTATACTTGTTTGTTTATTTTGTAGTTTTCTTAGTTTTCAAACTAAAAAACCATTTTGCTAGATAACACTTAAGCAATATATTGAAGTAGGGGTACATTGACTGATCCGGGTTTGACAATTAAAACATACTTGCCCTATACTGCCCGCGGCTAGAGTTTATACTTGGGCTCTAGTCGGGATTTTAATCCGCGGTGTCGTGCTTGAAGAGTCAATGTGCACGTAATTGTGTGATTCTTTACTTTATTCAGTTCATATTCTCCTATCTTAAATTCATTTGGTGCAATGGTATTAACAGCAACTGAGTTATATGACTTAATTTCTGATCATTTCCTAGTGGATTTGCTAGAATTTCATTGACATCCAGGATGCGACGGTGCTCGAGTAAATTCTGATTGTGTGGTAAATTTGTTTTGTCTAGTGCTCTGTTTGTTGGAGTAATAGTAGCATATGGTTGTCTATTTGGTGGTACGAGAGACCCTTTTATTATTCCATTTTTTTAGTTAGGTTCGATTGTACTTTTTTATTGTTTTCAGTCATGTAACTTCTTATATCTGATATGTTCCTCGGTAATATGCGTAATCTCTTATAAAATAAGTAAATTCAATCCCGATAATTAAATAATACTAATACACATATACAACTTAATGGGGAATGATTTATCATAATATGGCCACGCAACTCACATATAGGAAGTAATTAACTAAAGATGAAGAACATGAAGCTAATAGCCTGTTTGGAAAGGCTAAATTTTGAGGAAATGGAATTCCAATTCCCAAACTTTCCATGATTCTCATGTTTGGAAGTAAAAAGTAAAAAGGAAATGGAATTCCAAAAGGCAAAAAGTTGGAAATTCTAATTCCTACCAAAAGTGGTCGGAATTGGTGGAGGGAGTAATGGAATTAGTGGACCCCACATTAATTTTGACTCACCTTTACAAGAAAGCCCTTACTACTTTTGGATTTGAAATCACTAATACCAAGGATATTATTGTAAAAGCACTTGTAAGAAATCATTTCCATTTTTTCCAAACATAAAAATATGAAATCATTTCCCAAACTTTTGGATTTGTTCCAAACATAAAATTTTAAAATGAATTCTCACTTGAATTCAGATTCTCACAAGAAATGGAATTCATTTTCCAACAGAATTATATCCAAACAAGCTGTAAGGGTTGTTTTCTTTATTATCATTCGTCCTAGAAATCCACACATCAGGGCACCACTCGTCAGTTGGCTCATCACATTAAGCCGCCACATAACAAGACTTAATTAATTAAACAGCCTCAATCTATTTCATTACAAAGTCTAATAAATTTTATATATAGTTCAAATCGTGGAGCAATCAGCTTCCTTGAACCAAAGCTGCTCCATGTCCATATCATATGTAACCAAGAAGTTCATCTGCGCCAAGTTACCATACACGCCCGTGTTCTCCGACATGGTCGGTGCAAACGCCAGACAGGCAACGTCCTCACTCGTTTTTATAAACGTGTTGTCGGGCCTCAACTTGAGCGTCCCCGGAGCCGACTGGCCGTTGCCGGGGAGCTCAAAATGCACCGTCATTTCCGGCACGTCAACGTCTGCTAGCTCATTGCCAACTCCGCCTCTCACGTCGTAGCACGGCTCCAAGACTCCCAACGGGTCCTCCACCTTGTCCAAATGTTTCGTCTGGTTCTCCACCTTGGCTGCCACGGCGTCGTAGAATGCACTTGGCAAGAACGTCAGTGGTGTCCCTGTGTCCATGATCATGTACAGCTTCACTCCGCGGCCACTCGATGAAACTGTCACCGAAAATAATCGAGATTTTAAGTAGAATCGAATGATCTCTAGCTAGTTAAGCATTCCTCCGAATACCACTACATACGTATAATCATAGTTAGTAAAATACGTTACGGGAAAGTTACGTATAAAATACGTACGGGTATTTTACTTCGTCTCTAATTTAATGTTACGTTTAATAGTACATTAATAGTCATAAATATATAAAAAATTAAATTATTTTAAAAATAAATAAATGACAGTAAAGTTAATAATTTAATTCATTAAATACGGATATTAAACGTGTTATATGGGTTTTATACGTGTTTAGTACGGGAGCCATCAAATAAACGAAAGAAATTAAACTGCTTGACAATAATACGAATACGTAAATATGTATGAATACATCATACATATACATGTATTAAACGGAGTATTTATTAACTATGCGTATAGTATAATGAATCACCTTTGGAGAATTCCACCATCTCACCGCCGACGCCAATCCCATGGAGGATGAAACGGTAATCCGAGTACGGGTCCAGAAACGACATGGGGACGAACGTCGTATTGCTGTGGTCGGAGACCGTATCGTTGGTGAAGTCGGTACGCCCGAACCTAATCTTGCCAGCACCGTTATTACTATTAACAAACGGCGGGGTCAAGCAATAAGCGAAGCTCTCGGTGACGGAGTACTCGTGCACCTTGGACACCAGCGAATTGGGCCCGGGCCCAAGCCCAACGCTCCCAGAGGGCCGCGTCGTGGGGGCGTTATCATTATCATCCGTGTAATTGGCACCACCGTAAGCATTGAAAACGCCACACCCGAAGGTGGCCCCGGGGAGGTTGACGACGTCAGCGAGGGTGACGTTGTCGGTGCCCAGCAGCCCGTCGGTGAGGAAGGAGCCCTCGCGCTGGAAGTAGAAGCAGGCGCCGTCGGAGCAGGTGGTGGCGAGGGAGGAGAAGGCGGCGGCGGAGGTGTTGAGGTTGGGGTAGCAGGTGGGGGAGTCGCAGGGGAGCGGCGCGTAGGTGGAGGAGTTGTTGGGGCGGAAGTAAGGGTCGTGCTGACGGAAGCACATGACGCAGGGCTCGCACTGGGTCCAGATGAGGTCGCTCCTGGTCTCGATGGAGGCGTAGATGTGGGTCGGCGGGGTGCCGATGGAGACCTTCATCAGGTAGTCGCCGTCGCCGAGGGACAGCCCAATAGGGTCGGCTTTGGGAGCTAGCTCGTCGGGAAAGGCTGAGACGCCGTTTATCCGATCGAAGGAGCGCTGCAACGACGACCGGCTGGGGTAGTAGGGTTTCGACGGCGGGGAGTGGTGGATGATGGAGTGTTTGTGGATTAGGTCAAGTGTGAAGCTGGTCCTGCTGCCTGGTGACGTGGCTCTAGATAGGCTGAAGAGGAAGGTGACGATGACGGAAGTAATTGGGTAACTCAATTTTGTGATGCTGGCCATAGCCAAGCCACCGGAGTAAAAGTTTGATATGATTGAAGATAATTACGATATCAGAAATCTAAATGAGAGGGTTACAGAATTTACGTTAATCTGTTGTTATGTATATATACTATATATATAACTTAATGACATTGGTGTCGGGAATGAGATGAGCATATTTTTAGTTGCAACTAAATTGTGTGATAAGCCACTTTTATGTTTCTTTACTTTTGATCCCAATTTGAGGAAGTACACATAAAGTATATGATATATGGTGTTTTGTTGTTGTTGAAATAGTTGAATCAATAACTTAGATCTTTAGGAGGTAAGTTGTGTGTGAAAGAGTATCGGGTAGCTAGCAAGTTATTACAACCTTCGGTTGGTAACAGAGGCTAAACTACATTATCTCAACTACTTGAATAATTTGGATTGTTTTAATCATAATATTACCTCTTGCACGACTTTATTGGATCCAGTACACCACATTCTTTTTTTCATGTGATTTTCGTTCATAAAAAATCTTGTTTTCATTCAAAACATGCTATATAGATGTCATAAGTCACTATAATAAAAATTGAGCTTCAAAGTTTAGGTAACATAGGCTATTGTAATTTGAACTTTTTTTTTTACAATTTCTGCTACACATATAAAAAAATATATAGGTTCCTATTGTATTCATGTAATCTAAGGTTACAACATACGGTTGGTAATAAAATGATATACAAATATTTAATTAATCGAATCATGGTGCGTAATACTATACCTCTAACTCTTAATGAGTACACCCAACGTCTTAGTTCTCTACTCAAAAATCCATAAACCATAAGTTGTCACATCTATAATGTTTGATGTATTTTGATGGATCAAAACAATTGAACATTCTTTCTAGTTTAATTGATTTTAGGCTATAGAATTTACAGAATTAGGACCTATTTACTCACTAGGAATTAAGCTATAATGTCATGTCCCGAACTCTGGTTAATTCAAGGTTTATATAACATATACTTACATAAAATATGCAATACCCTAAAATTTATCATATATACACTACAACAAATTCGGCTTATTAGGAAAAAAAATATTTTGTTATTTTCTATTTGTCACAATAGGTATGGTGATATGACAAAAATAATATGTCCTATTTGGTATGCCTAATGTGACAAAAAAAAATTATTGTCAGAATAAGTCATGAGTTAAAGTGAGTAATGTGACAAATATTTCGTGTCACAATTAATTTTATCAAAATAGGCATCCCATATCGGGATGTAAGAGACACAAAAGTGACAAATTATATCGTCAAAGTAGCTTTTGTCATATTATGTCTTCCTGAATTATTTAAATGACAAAGTGTTTTGTCACAATAGATAGCGATAATCCCACGATGAGCTGACAACAGGGCATGTTCGTCATAATATAGTGATTTTGGCTTTTACAAAAGGCATGTTTTGTCATATTCTGTCTTCCCGTGATTTTATCTATGGGCGGGAAAGGAAATTCAAATTGTCCTCTCCCTAAAAATATTTGACTATTGAAATTTTTTTTAGTGCTCGGTGGCACGCCCTTTAATTTTTTGGGGTTTTCTTTTATTTTTCTTCCTATGCGACTTCGTGTCCATTTTGATCTCCTTCCCTTTGTTGCAATTTCTGGAGGTTGCAGCATACCAAATACGAAGTTGAAAGTTGAAAACCTACGGCCCAAATCAATCTCGCTCCTTCAATTCTCTCCGCCAGTCCGCCCCTCGTCGGTCGTCGTCTCCTGTAGCCGGTTCGACAGATTGTCGAAGTCGTTCTCCTTGCAATCAGCGAGCGCACTCCAGGTCGCCAACATAGCAGCCTCCCTCTGCCTCCATCTTCGGCTCAAGTTTTGTTCGTCGTCCGGGAGAAATCACGAACATGAAAGTCAGGTCTTGCACAACCTCCGGTTGCTATCGCAAGTTGCGAGAAGCCTAACAACAGATCTGGGCGGCGGTTCTCCTCACCAGCAGATCTGGGCTTTGGGGTTCTGTTTCGTGTTGTGGTTGCCATTGTTATTATGATTTCTGGGTTTCTGCATTCCCTCTTCATTTCCCAGTCCTATTCATGAAGAGAGACGATTCATCTTCTTCATGTAAGCATTTGATGTTGCCGATTTCGCTTGGCATGCTTCCCTGAAATGAGTTTCTGATTCATTTTCATTGTTGCTATTACTTTGCTAATTAAAGGTATCTTGGCCTCCCCAAACAAGGAAAGCGCTTTACCTCTCCACCATCTCCAATTTCAATCGAAGAACCCTAAAATTCGAATCGCCAGAAGGTCGCTTTACCTTTGTCGATCCCTGCAGCTACTTTTCTAGCCACCAAGTACTCACCGTCGGGCTTCCCTCAAATGCGATTGCTAGCCGGTCCGACTCAATTTCGTGGTAGTTCAAAAATCACTGCTCCAGACTTACGTCGATCTTCACTCTTCCCTAGTCCTTTACGACCTACTAATAATCAATTGATTCGGGTAATTTAATAAGGTTAGAAGCAACCTTGTACAATAGAGAGATGTTTTCTTTCAAAACATCTGAACGTTGCTGCAAGGTATTTTCTGGCGTTTCATATTTCATTATTGTCTTGTCTCTTGAGTTCTAATCATATGTTTCCTTTGAGCAGTACCATCAATCAGGATCCCCTTTCTTAATTGTTGTGTCTTTTGGGGTTTTCCCATTTTGACAGAAGGAATTGGGTCATTCGGCTTTCTCCGCAGCATCGTCACCTTTCTCGGTTCCCAGATGCAAGAAATCAATCGCGAAGAAAATTGTTTCGGTCAAGGCGCCATAGCAGTTCGAGCGCAAGCCGACAACTACTGGCTCGATTGGTGTCCTATTCTCACGTGCTTTTCACTGTGGTTCCTTCTAGCCACCAGTTTGATTCTGTTCATTTTAGTAATGGGAGATTTTGATGCAAGTGAAGACTGCGATAACAATGAATGAGAAAATCTGGGCTAGGGCTTCTCAGAAGACCCATTTGAGTCACGGTGAAAATGTTTGGGTAGACGTTAATATCTTGATGACTCGTGATGGTTGTGGCACTGGTTCTATTGGTATCTTCAAAAAGGAGTTTGGACAGAATGCCAAGGTTTGCGTCGTCTCAGCTTTCAATTTGAGGTAGGTTTTCTCTACAGATTGTATGAACATATAAGTGGCAGCAGCAGTGACAACAATAGGCCAGCGTTGTCGAGGGATTCAAAATTCCTAGATTAGTTTGTTTAGGACACCAAAAATAGTTAGATGTATAACTAGTATTTGTTTGATCAGAGTTTCATGCTACAAGAAATTTTTTCAACTATATGTTATTCAATATATTGATGAATAAATCATATTGGTAACAATATGCAGTTATGACAAAATACGTTCTTCCTAATTTACAGTTTTGACAAAATATATTCGTCACACCATACATTTATGACAAAAAGTTTCTGTCACAATTATGTGATGTTAAAATATAATGTTGTAATATGACGAAAATTTTCTGTCAAAATAAGCAAATTATGACAAGATTAATGACAAAATATGTCGTCATAACATCTCTGTTTGTCACAGTAGACTACCAGAACCTCAGCTATAGTGAAAGCAAATGTGACAAACTTGTTTTAAATTTTTATCACATTTGATCTATTCTGACGGCGATAAAATGACAAACCTTCGTGACAACACCTTTTGTCATACTATACCTCATATGACAAAATGAGTATCTAATATGAAAAAAATTCCCCGTCATAATAGGCAGAATTTGTTGTAGTGATACCATAGAAGGCTCACACACACATGCACATATATAGTGGCTTCTTCAGTGTACTCACAAAATGAGTGCTTAGAATGCACTCAATCAACTATAAAAATAGCCTTAAGACATCGAATTTTGGATTTTAATTGGTAGAATTAGTCTGGTATGATAATATAACATATGATCACAACTAATCAATCCATTATTGTAACGTTTAAACGTTCAAGTTTGAACACTAACCCTAAACCCCAAATCATAAACCATAAACCCTAATACTACATCTGTAAACTCTAAAACCTTTAAATCAAAGTAAAACTTGAATGATTTTTGTGAAAATTCATGTGTTTTCTTGTCCATCATATCACAAGGACGATTGAAATAGTTCTCATATGAATGATCAACTCATAATGACGATTATGAAGCAGATGTGCATTGTATGGGAAAAAAAAGAGTGCACCTATATATATATAGGTTGAACTTACAACAATATATAGTAGGTTATAATAGTATGATGCACAATTACTAAAAGACTAGGAGAACAAAATGTTAATGCTCCAGCAGTATTGGCATACGAAAAGTCTTCAAATTTATTTTAGTATCTCTTAATTGTAAAGATATTGGGTTTGCACTTATTGATTTCTGGTTCCAGTTCCAATTGATGTTATTGTGGAAAATATGACTTGTAACTATAAACAATGCAGTCAAAATCGCATTTTAAAGGTTAACAACTTCTGCTTTTACGTTTTTAGATCACCAAAATGCTTCTATGCAAAATCATAATTTTATAGTTAATTTAGTTAAAATACACTTTAAAGATTAAAAACTTACGATTTTACGCTTCTAGATCACCAAAACTCTTCTACATAAAAACAAGTTTTTAACTACATTGACTATAAGGAGTACTAAAAAGTATGACTATCATCATAATTGAACCAACGATGTCTATTTTTGCTTTAGCACAAAATTGCTTATTACCATCAGAAAATGGCTATTATTATAAGAGAAACTAAATGTGGGTATATGCTCTCTTTCCTTTAATATACATTTATTTATTTATTTAGGGTTGAGCAGAAAACAGGTACATAATAACAAGATGATCAAGAACAGAAAACAAAGAAAAAGAAGATGGACCAGCCGAGAAAACTGAAAAGTGTTGGTAAACAGAGAATTTGTTCAAATTTTTTTTGTCCCAAATATTATTCCCCCTCCCCCCAGCCTTCCATAAATAGACTATAACATATTCTATCTTTGCCACCAAAATTGAGAATTGATTTGTGGCTTCGGGTTGGGAATATATGCACTTGGGACTCCACTCCTTTTGCTTTCATTGCTTCCTAGCTCTAGCTAAG